TACCAGGTCTCCCACACCCACCTCCCCACCAATTTGGATCGCTTGTTGTTCCCTTGTCCCTGGGTTTAAGCCAATGACCCAAACACTGTCACGCAGGGACAGAGAAGGCAATACTCGACATGCTCTGACCTTCACTGGACCAGAGCAGGGTCCAGCATCTCTGTAAATTAATCCCTTCTGTGAGTTGAGAAACAGGCCGCATCTCAAGCCTGGAACTGTAGACAGTTGGGAGTCAGCCATTTCTCACACAAGGATTTCCCCCATGGTGGTCTAGCCAAGTTCACCCCTCTCCAGTGCATGTTCATCTAATACTGGCTTCTCTCAGGGCAAGCTGACCACCCCGCCACCCCCCACAATGCGGGCCGGGGAGTGGGTGTCACTGTCCTCTGTAGAAGTACAAGTGTCAGGGTCCAGGCGACTATGAGAGCCATCAGTTTGCCTTTCCCCACTCTTCTGATTCTGTGCACACAAGCACTGTGGGGAAGTGGTCACCGGGAGCCCAGTTAAGAGTGTAGAGTGTGTTGTGGACTCCCTCTGCCCATGTCCAATGCCAGAGACTGAAGAGCCAGGGGGAGAAGTTGCTCGGCGCATCTTGTGAGGGCAGCCAAGCACCCACCATCTTCCAGGCTTCTACCTTGGGTGTCCTCCCTCCCTCAGGATTGGCAAGCTGTGCCTGGCTCAGCCTTGTGTGCCCCCAGGAAGGTTCAGAACTCAGGCTTGCCTGGTTTCCACTTTCTTCCACACTTTTTTAAGAGAGGGTTAGTAGAATGCTTGGCTGGCAGCTATGTTCCATCAGTTTTCCCTTTTTTAATCTCAAGTCCTGTCCTTTCTCTTTTTTCACTGCAAACCCATCGCTGAAAGCACAGCCCCCTGGTTATTCTGCACCGGGAGGCCTCCCCACCCCAGGGTCCGTGTCTGCGCTGCTGGGGAAGGAGGCCAAGACTTCTGCTCTCAACCTCCATGCTGTTTTGTCAACTAAAACTCACCACGCCCACTGCTACCAAGCTGATCTGAACTCCTAGTGACCCCACACACTGATACCAAGGCTGTAAACCTTTATGGGAGCAGACAGCCTACACTGTGAAAGCTGACCGTCAACATAGGTGCACTGGGTGGAGAAGGAGTGCTGTCTGAAAGTGAGAGGGGAAGGGCAGCCTGGCTTGGAAATAATGGGAAGGTTACTTTTCCAAAACAAAGATAGCTTTATTAATAGTATTATCATGAAAGTAAAATGTGCTCACTGCTAATACACACAGACACAAAAAGACATAAGGAAAACCATCCATGATCCACACCAAGCACACAATCCCGTTCCAGGCATTCCTAATCACACACCTTCTTCTGAAGCTCGGATGACTCACCACGCAACTCGTGTGCCTGTCTGGGTTCCCTGTGCAGCCGAATCCCGCTCAGAAATGCTGTGGGGTGTGGGGAGGGAATTAACAACAAGCACGGGAGGGGAAGTCTGGGAGAAAAGCATACCTGTTTAAGGATGTCCCAAGTGAGAAGCGGGCCAGAAATCTGCTTGCAGTTGGGGCTGGCCAGGTGAGCAGGCAGCTCTCGGTGCCCGTCCAGGTAGCCACCAGGTCAGGGCAGAGCAGGCTTCAGGTCTGGGATGCAGGGCTTGCAGGTGTGAGAGTGGATGCCCAGAGGTAGCTCAAGGCGGGCCCAGCACAGGAAGAAAGTGAAGCCTGGGTCCTCCAGCCAAGAGCAAACCCACTGTCTTGGAGCCAGCACCAGAGCAGACTGCCCCTAAGGGGTCCTGAGGCTGGGGTCTTCAGGGAGCAGACAGCCACATCTTCATCGGTGGCCTCCTCCTTCACAGGGGAAGAACCCTAGCAGGCTGTCAGAGTGGAGGGTGGAGAGCCTGGGCTGCTGTCAGGCCTGTGACCCCCACCGCCTGCACAGGACGACCAGTGTGAAAACAGACAACACCCATCTTCCCATCACGGTGTCTGTGAAAGCGCCCCATCTGCAGAGTCCCCGTCTCGTCCACAGGTGAGGCATGGGGTGTATCAGTCGCCCCATGTTCCTCAAGCAGTTTCTCCACTGGCACCTCAACAGCACACAGGGCGAGCCAAAGCCAAACATGGAAGCAGTGAGTCCACTGCTCAAGGCGAGGGCAGTTCCAGGAACCAGCTGGTCTGCGTGATGTCAGGCGGGCACAGCCATGCTCCAGTGGAGTCCATCAAGAAGTACAGGACGACAGGCTTTCCAACTGCTCAGAGGCTGGAGGGGCACTGGGAGCCCCGCCTGTGCGGACGTCTACCCGCAGGGACAGCAGCGGTGGGCACGTGTGCACACGTTCAGGAGCGTGGAGACACCCAGGGGCCAACACCAGGGGAAGCCGCCACCGCTGAGGCTGAGCCAGAGGAAGTTCACCTCTTCTGGAAGAGGGCCAGCAAAGCGCAGCCAGCCGGCCCAAACGGGATGAGAATGTGGGAGCACAGCCGGCTCTCGGCAGGTCTTCGTGGTGGGTAGCCTGTGCATCCGTGCTGCCACTGTGCCTCCCCGGGGAGGGGGGATGTGGAGAAGCCAGTCCAGCTCCTGGGAAGCAAGCCCCTCCATGTGGGCTAGTGTATCTGTGTCCACGGACCGAGCATCTAGAGCAGCGGTTCTCAACCTGGGGGTCACAACCCCTTTGGGGGTTGAACGGCCCTTTCACAGGGGTCTCCCGATTCCTAACAGTAGCAAACTTACAGTGATGAAGTAGCAAGGAAAATAATGTTATGGTTGGGGGTCACCACCACACGAGGTCCTGTATGAAAGGGTCACAGCATGAGGAAGGTTGAGAACCGCTGGTCTAGTCTGCTGAGCAGAGGCGACCCTAGGTGTTCACTGAGGGGCCAGCAAACACTCCTGGGGGCAGAGCCTTCCCATCGCTGCATGTGCCTGCTCACCCACACACGGCATGTGGACGAGGGCCCACACTCTCGGTCGGCCAGCGAACAAGACCACCTGGGCCACGTGAGGGCAGACAAGAGACACAGAAGCAGCTTCCGACAAGAATGTGCCCACCCGTTTTTAGAAAAGGATATTTTAATTTCTGTCCTATAAAGACTATACATGATTTGGAAACGGGAAGGTACCACGGAGGTCGTGTCCGCTCTATGATTTCTCCTTGGTCTGGTCGCTCAGAAATATGATGTTGTCTGTGAGGAAGGCAGAGAGAAAGGCATTATTCCCCCGGGCCGCCACACCCTCCAAGGCGCCCTGCCGGCGGCGCTGCTCACGGAAGGGGCTTCGGAGACCCTGAGAGCCTCTTCCTCTGCATCCTCAGAGTCCATCAGAGGCCGCCCTGTGGGCGTGGACACGGCGAAGGACTGGGTTAGGGCTACAGCCTGCTTGGAAACAGGCTACTCCCAGCCTGCCCTTGGGAAAACCAAGACAAGATCCTCTCAGCAATGACTTCCAGCACACGACTGCTCCTGGAAAGGGCAGGGGACGCTTAGCCCAGCCAGCACAGGCTCACACCCAGAGGGCCCTGCTGGAGGGGCACAGGAGAGCAGGGGGCTGAGCGTGTCCCCACCAGTGACAGACTTACTTCATCTGTGCTTTAAGTCAAGGTAACACCTCACACTAAAGAAACTGTGGCCTCCCAAGTTTTAAATACATCCGCTTCCCCCAATACTCATTCTTGGGAAGCCTTTACTAATCAGTACTGTTGTGTTTTTGGACAGTGCTCCCCTGGGGAACAGAGGGGGTTCATTCAGGACAAGCCAGGAAACAAGTGACATTTCCTGTACATCTCCAGAAGCTCTATCTAGACTCTCATAACTTGAAAATTTCCAAAACACGATGTCAGCATATGAATGAGTAACTGAGACTAAGAGTCTGGAAGAAGAGCATGCTGGTACAGGAAGTGACAAGTGCTGGTACCTGCTCGTGACTCTGGACTTCCGGAGGAGTATGCAGGTACAGAGAGAAATTAAGCTATAGTGTAAAACTGTCTGTCCCTGGGGGATAGAGAGTGAACTACAGTGTAATACTGTCTATCCCTGGGTACAGAGAGAGAACAAGCAATACTGGAAACTGTCTGTCCTGGGAGATAGAGATTAGGCTACAGTGTAATACTGTCTGTCCCTGGGGTACAGAGAGAGATTGAGCTACAGTATAATACTGTCTGCCCCTGGGGTACAGAGAGAGATTGAGCTACAGTGTAATACTGTCTGTCCCTGGAATACAGAGAGAGATTAAGCTATAGTGTAATACTGTCTGTCCCTGGGGT